GAACAGGGCTATAGGGTCAGGGCTATAGGATGTAGGGGCACTGCAGGTTCTCCACAAGGCACGTGATGCCCTCTAGTGGACGAACGCACAACTACAGCTGCTGATGTTGCTGCTGCAACGCAAGGAACAAGACAACCGGGCTGTACAGCCTCCACATCGCCACTTCTCCACGCACACAAAGCGAACCTTCTCAGAGTGCATCTCATCATCAACATTAACTCAGCGCAAACAGCACCCTGAAACAGGCTTCGTCTCTCAGTGTCTCATCAGCAGTCAGGCTCGCTTGAACCAACACTGGTGAACTGCCAGATGTTACTGACAGGGAACCACTCTGTTAGACGAGCCTTTTGCCCGTCCAAGGACGGGTGTATTGCAGTAAATGTGAAACTTGCAAGCGACAAAGCAGACCGCGACGTGATATTCATTGCATCCATTCGTGTGCAATCTGTAAGGCCGCGGTGACACGGACCTATTTCATTTACAGGTTATCATCCCTTGTTCATCATGACGTCCTTTTTACTTTGATGTCTCAACTGCGTTATGGAGATTGCGTGACGTCAGGGTTGTTCTGCCTTTGTCGTGAGGGTTGTGAGTTGACGCCGAGGAGGGGGGAGGAGGCGCCTCGGCTCCCCATGTGGAGTGACGTCACCCACTAATTATTATCAATGGGGGGGGGGGTGTCCATGTGGAGGACGTCACCTGCTCATGAATATTAATGAGGGGGGCTGGTGGATGTGGAGTGACGTCACGAGCGTTAAGGACAGACATTCCTGGGTGATGAGAGTAGATCTATGGGCCTGCTTCAGCACAGGACCGTGTAGCGCAGTGGCAGGAGCCTGGCGCTGCTGCTGCTGCTGCCGCCACTGCGGTGCACGGCGGAGACGCGGCGCCCTCTCGTGGGCGAGTCTCTGGGGCTGCAGATTATTGGGTGAAGCTGCGTTGGCAGCGACGCACGAACGCAATTCAAGACGACAAACTCAACACATTGGCCAATCACCCTGTGGCCTAAAAGAACCTCGACAGGCGGGAAAGTCGGGCCATGGGACTTGTGTCCAGCCCAGCGGCTCTCCTCGTCACCAGCGGGGGACGACCTCGCGAGAAGCCGCCTCGGCGCGTGGCCTCGTCCCGCGACCTCTGCCGCTGGTGGTGGAGGTGGTGGAGGTGGTGGAGGTGGTGGTGGTGGTGGAGGTGGTGGTGAAGGTGGTGGTGGAGGTGGTGGAGGTGGTGGTGGAGGTGGTGGTGGAGGTGGAGGTGGTGGAGGTGGTGGTGGAGGTGGTGGTGGTGGAGGTGGTGGTGGTGGAGGTGGAGGTGGTGGTGGAGGTGGTGGTGGAGGTGGTGGTGGAGGTGGTGGTGGAGGTGGTGGTGGAGGTGGTGGTGGTGGAGGTGGTGGTGGAGGTGGTGGGTGGTGGTGGAGGTGGTGGAGGTGGTGGAGGTGGTGGTGGAGGTGGTGGGGAGGTGGTGGGAGGTGGTGGTGGTGGTGGTGGAGGTGGTGGAGGTGGTGGAGGTGGTGGTGGTGGAGGTGGTGGAGGTGGTGGTGGTGGGAATGGGACGCGAACCCTGGAGGTCTCCTCCTCCTCCTTCTCGCGAGCTAAACGACCTCACCCGCTAAACTTTAACCGATTGTCCATGTCGTGAGGTATCCGAACTCTGCTCACTGCAAGGGAGTAAAAATCGACGGACGCTCTGCACGCGTGACGTCATTTGTCCGCCCTCGCTGCTTCCTATTGGAAACCGCATTGCTTACGATCTACGAGTTTATAAAGGTCTTTAACATAGTTGTAAGTGATCATACGGATTCAACATTTGTCGTAGTTATTCTATACGAGCAGATTCGTACATAATTATTCCCCAATCTATAGTCAAATGTAGAGTATAATTTCACACATGTATACATCACCTCACTACACCCCCGCTAATAACCGAACGAGGAAGAAGGTCGCGCAGACAAACGAGTCGCCTTGTAACGAGTGCGTGGTCTCGGTGCGTGCGTGGTGAAGTCGGCGCAGGAGGTCGGGGGGCAAAGGGACGCGGCGGGGGGCGTAGACGCCGCCGCCGGCGTGTCGTCTGCGGAGTCCCTCTCGCGTCTGTGGCCACAGCGAGACCCCCGCGACTCGACGGCGGCGCCAAGTGGAGACCTCGGGTCGGCTCTGTGACGTCACCGCCTTGCCACGCGGTGGCGCCACAGCGCGGCAGCAGCGGCAGTAGCAGCACCTCGCGGTTTTGTTGGTCGTAGCACTGAAATAAACTTACTAGCGTAGCAGCTACACGCTGTGTGGGCTCGGTGCGTGGGTGTAGAGGGGCTTGTGAAACGTGGACCCCCCTAATGGAATAGCTGCGCCGGTTAGAAACGTCTAGGCTGTCCTGCCTACGATCCATCCTGGGGTTAACCTGCAGGCTGGATCGTGTGAGGAGCTCACAGTTCCTTGAAAGATCTGGACAAAGTCCCTGCAGGCAAGGCTGCGTTGGCTGGGTCATGTAGCCCGCATGCCCAGCCACTGCATGGCCAAGCAGCTTCTGTTTGTCCACATAGACGGGCCTAAACGGGCACGACATGTTCTTTGGGTCTTTGGGTAAAGTCACGTAGACAGGTTCAAAGAAAGAAGCAGTCACGAAAGCGTTAAGTCAAGATTTGGGCACGACATGGGCTGGAGTAGAGATTAACTGATGCGGTACGGGAGCATGTGGAGCTGAGTGGTCTTGCCTCTCTCCATTGTACCCACTACATTAGTATGTTGAAGGGTGTGTGTAAGTGTATAGAGGTGTGTGTGTAGGTGTGAGTGTATAGAGGTGTGTGTGTAGGTGTGTGTAAGTGTATAGAAGTGTGTGTGTAGGTGTGATTGTATAGAGGTGTGTGTAGGTGTGTGTGAGTGTGTGTGAGTGTATAGAGGTGTGTAGGTGTGTGTGAGTGTATAGAAGTGTGTGTGTAGGTGTGTGTGTAAGTGTATAGAGGTGTGTGTGTAGGTGTGTGAGTGTATAGAGGTGTGTGTAGGTGTGTGTGAGTGTATAGAGGGGTGTGTGTAGGTGTGTGTAAGTGTCTAGAGGTGTGTGTGTAGGTGTGTGTGAGTGTATAGAGGTGTGTGTGTAGGTGTGTAGAGGTGTGTGTGTATGTGTGTAAGTGTATAGAGGTGTGTGTAGGTGTGTGTGTAGGTGTGTAGGGGTGTGTGTGTAGGTGTGTGTGAGTGTATAGAGGTGTGTGTGTAAGTGTATAGAGGTGTGTGTGTAGGTGTGTGTAAGTGTCTAGAGGTGTGTGTGTAGGTGTGTGTGAGTGTATAGAGGTGTGTGTGTAGGTGTGTAGAGGTGTGTGTGTATGTGTGTAAGTGTATAGAGGTGTGTGTAGGTGTGTGTGTAGGTGTGTAGGGGTGTGTGTGTATGTGTGTGTAAGTGTAACGAGGTGTGTGTAGGTGTGTGTAAGTGTATAGAGGTGTGTGTGTAGGTGTGTGTAAGTGTATAGAGGTGTGTGAGTGTATAGAGGTGTGTGTAGGTGTGTGTAGGTGTGTGTGAGTGTATAGAGGTGTGTAGGTGTGTGTGAGTGTATAGAAGTGTGTGTGGTAGGTGTGAGTGTATAGAGGTGTGTGTGTAGGTGTGTGTAAGTGTATAGAAATGTGTGTGTAGGTGTGAGTGTATAGAGGTGTGTGTAGGTGTGTGTGTGAGGTGTATGTGAGTGTATAGAGGTGTGTAGGTGTGTGTGAGTGTATAGAAGTGTGTGTGTAGGTGTGTGTGTAAGTGCATAGAGGTGTGTGTAGGTGTGTGTAAGTGTACGGAGGTGTTCGGGTGAGTAACCCTGGCAGCGCAACGCTGCTGGCGTCTCGTGCTGCCGCCTGTACCGCGCCTTGTCCACCAGAGGGCATCGCCTACCCACGGGTTGTGTGGCGTCAGGGTGAGAAGTGGAGGGTAGGGGAGGGGTCCGGGGGTGGGGGGGGGCTGCTGCAGCGCTCAGCTGAAGCAGCAGCCGCTGAAAGTCACCGTAAACGTGAACACAATCAGTTAAGATCCGAAATGGTTTATTACGTCCTTCCAATGATTGCTAAGCCCGAATCCATCTTCTCGGTTGAAATTGTCGTTCATGAGGCGATCCACATATACAAACACAGAGACAGTATATAATTTAATGTTGGGTTTGTCTATGGCAGTATATAGTACGGTGTAGACTCGTGTGATGTAAGAGTATAAAGTTTAGATGGAAGCATATTATATAATTTTTATGACGTAGAATTGTAATGTATTACTTACTGTTAGTAACTTAGCTTATTGTAGAGTATAGTAAGTATACTGATGATACTATGTGGTTTATACTTTAGTTGTTTACGTGTTGGTTTTAGTTGTTGCAGCTACATACTGTTAACACTCCTTCCCTTTATTAATGCTACCCCTATCCCCTCCCTTTGATGCTGAATTAGCACTATTCACATACCTGCATTTCCCATATCCTCTCCCTTTGATACTGCTAATCCTGCATAATGCACAGGCATATGTAGTACTAATCACATTCCTGCATTTCCCATGGAAATGTTAAATTCCTCTTGATATGCAAATTCCTTTGTCAAGGCGCCCAGCTTATATATATGCTCCAAGCTCGTGTGGTGTTTCATTCAGACGCTGTCGCCTCGACAGACCTGGTTTTCACCTGAGGACGGCTGCTTGCGTTGTGGCCGAAACGTCGTGAGAATTATTTTATTATGTTTATTTTATTTTATTACTTCCCTTCTACGTGACTTTACCGAAAGAACCAAGAAGATGAATCACTGCAGTCACGAAAACTTTAAATCGAGATGTAGAGGTGTTACGTACCGGGGTGTAGCAAGCCATTACGTTGCGGTGTCTACATCACGGTCCGTGCGTGGGGTGTCTACATCAACGTCCGCATACAGCCCCGCCCCTCAGGGGGCAGTTGGCTATATAAGGCGGTGCGCGAGAGAGCTCGAGGCAATCGTTGGAGCAGAAGAGCCAGTGACGACTGAAGACCAGCTACCTAGCCCTGGGACTACCCTGACTCGCTGCTCTTATAAGAGCCGAGCAGGGCAAGCCAGGGGCGACCTCAGAGCAGCGAGGTCTGTGTCCTTATGAGGGCCAGGCTCGTGTGGCTGAGGGTCGGACCTGAGCCGAAGCTGGGCCAGGTCAGTGAGCCTCTACAGTAAAATGAAAAACAATTAAATATTCGTTTATTGTGTGGATGAGTGGGTGCGTGCATGTGTGGATGAGTGGGTGCGTGCGTGAGTGGGTGCGTGGGTGGATGAGTGAGTGGATGGGTTGATGCGTCATAGGTGAGTCGCTGAGTGAGTGAGTGGCTGGGTGCATGAGTGTGGGTTAGTGATTGAGTGGGTGGCTTAGTGAGTGGGTCAGTGTATGAATGGCTCAGTAGTTGAGTGGGTGCGTGTGAGTGGCTCGGTGGTTGAGTTCGTGGGTGGTTGAATGTTTTGGTGGTTGAATTATTGGGTGGTTGAGTGATGGGTGGGTGGGTGAATAATTACGTGGTTAGTGGGTGAGTTGCTGAGGGAGTGGCCGGCCGGGTGGTTGGGCGAGAGGGTGGGTTAGAAATTGAGTGGGTAGCATGGTGAGTGGATGTGGATGTGACTGGGTGAGTAGGTGAGTGGCTGGGTGAGTATGTGAGTGGATGGATGAGTGAGGGGGTGAGTGGGTTTGTGGATGAGTGAGTGTGTGGGTAGGAATGAAACACCACCACGCTTGGAACGTATATTTAAGCTGGGTTGGAAGGGGGGAAGGCCGCCTTGACAAAATAATTTGCATATCAAGAGGAATTTAGCATATTTATGGGAAATGCAGGTATGTGATTACTACTACTTGTGAAATGCGTAGGAGGTGGGCGGGGGGTTTAAAGTCATATTATGCCCGTTGATTATGCAGGATTAGCAGCATCAAAGGGAGGGGATAGGGGTGGCATTAATAAAGGAATGTTAATAGTATGTAGCTGCAGTAACTAAACCACCACGTAAACAACTAAAGTATAAACTACGTAGACATCTCTAACGGCCAAACTGCCAGTGGCGCGAGACGCGGGGGCGGTACAAGGTAACCACGCCCCCCCGTGATGTCACAGCCATGAGCTCCTCCCCCCATGCCCCTCCCCCTCACCCCCCCCCCCCCCATGCCCCCCCCCCCCCCCCCCCCCCTCCCCCCATGCCCCCCCCCTCGCCCCTGCCTCCCCCCTGCCCCCCCCCCCCCCCCCCCCCCCCCCCCATGCCCCCCCCCTCCCCCCCCATGCCCCTCCCCCCTCCCCCCATGCCCCCCCCCCCCCCCCCCCCCCCCCCCCCCCCCCCCCCCCCCCCCCCCCCCCCCCCCCCCCCCCCCCCCCCCCCCCCCCCCCCCCCCCCCCCCCCCCCCCCCCCCCCCCCCCCCCCCCCCCCCCCCCATGCCCCTCCCCCTCACCCCCCATGCCCCACCCCCCCCCCCCCCCCCCCCTCCCCCCGCTGCCACTTCCGCTGGGTTCGAGTGGAGGCGGCGCGCGCTGTGCATTGTGGGTGGCGAGCGGCTGGTTTGGATTCCCGCTCACGGCCACCGTCAGTGGCGAGCGAAAGCTTCTGAAGCGGCGGCTCGCTGGGCCTCCTCTGCGTCGACTCAGCCTGAAGGTGAGAACCTCGCGCGGTGTGTCCACATCAGCAGTGGCGGCGGCGGTGGGAGGAGACAGAGGAGGCGCCTGGCCCACAGCCGTCACGTTCTGCGGAGTTCACGGCGCAGCTTCAAGCAGAGCTCGGCCCTGCTGCTGCTGCTGTTGTTGTGGTTACATTATAGTTGTGGTTACATTATAGTTGTGGTTACATTATAGTTGTGGTTACAGTTGTTGGTCGTGGTTATTGTTGTGATTATAATTGTGTGGTTGTTACTGTGGTGGCTGTGCAGGTGGTGGCACACGAGTTAACCCATAGCACCAGGGTCTAGCCCTCCTCTTGTACCGAGCCAGGCAGAGCAGTCGGCCCATGGCACCTGAGTCTGGCCCGTGACCTTCTCCTGCACTTAGCCTGGCACAGCCGTCAAACCATGGCACCTGGGTTATTGTGGTGACGTCATCGCCACGTAGTGGTGAATGGCTACTGTTGATGTGTGTGGGATTGTTTGTGAGTATGATGGTGAATGCGTGAGTATGATGGTGAGTATCATGGTGAGTGTGATGGTGAGTGTGATGGTGAGTATCATGGTGAGTGTGATGGTGAGTGTGTGGTGAGTGTATCATGGTTGGTGAGTAATACTGAGTGTGAGTTTGACTAAATATCTTCCCTCTCGCTGTCTCTGCTTTCCCCCCTAACTACCTCGCCTGGTATACAGGAGTTTGTAGGTTCGATCCCGACCCTGATGCCTGCTGTATATTTGGAGTTTGCGTGTCTCTGTCTCTCCCCGTGGTCGCGTGGATTTTTCTCCAGGTCCTCTGGTTTTTCTCTCCACATTAAGATACATTCGTTTAAAGTTTTGACTTAAAACTTTCGTGACTGCAGGAATTAATATTCTTGGTTCTTTCGGTAAAGTCACGTAAATAGAAAACAAAAACAAATCTATTTTTTTAAGTTAAAAAAATAAGATAAATTGAAAATAATAAAAAGCAATTTATTCGATTTATTTGCATTACTCATTTTTTGGGGGGTTTTCTATTTACGTGACTTTACGGAAAGAACCAGGAATATGAATATTCGTTTAAAGTATTTGGCTGCTATAATTTACACGTGATGACGAGCCACTTCGTTGAGCTATTATTGGTGCCAAGTCGCTTCTGAATAAGTAATATTTAAAAGTACTTTTTTTTTAAAACACGCTTTAATTAAATTAAATGTACCACGACTCCAGGAAGTGGCCCCGAGGCTTGCCATAACGTAAGGGGCCCTGGTGATTTACAGCCAACGTCAGTTGAGCGTGGACAATTAGACCCAAGCTGAAACATCATAAAAATGAATGTTTAAAAATACTTTTTTTTATAGAATGTAGTTTTGTCATCAGTACGACATAAGTATACCAAGTTTGCAGTCGATACCACATTGGGAAGTGGGTTAAAATTGAGTTGCAAGATTTGAGGATACGACAACAACAGACAGTGAGTTAAATAAAAGTGCGTAATAAAAGAGATGTTTATCTCAGTGGACCTTACCTGGTGAAATGAAAATCGTTGAGATTTTAGTCTAGTTTTATCTCTCCTTCCCGAGCACAACAACAAGCAGGAGTAGTGGGAGGAGCATTCTCCACTAACGGCGCTTGTGCCAGGATATGTACACCACAGATATCCATCACATAGAGACCCAGAGAGTCATCACACATAGACCTATACACTCACTACGCACAGACCCTCAGACTCGCACAGAGGTCTATAGACTCACCACACAAACACATGGACTCACCACAGAGCCCCATAGACTCACCACAGCCCCATAGACTCACCCCACAGAGACCCATAGACTCACCCCACAGAGACCCATAGAGTTATACAAAAACGCATAGACTCATCACACAGAGAACCACCGATTCAAACAGACTCGCACAGAGCCCTATAGACTCACAAAGCAGAGACACATAAACTCACCACACAGACACATAGACTCACCTCACAGAGACCCACGGACTTTCACAGAGACCCATAGACTCACCACACAGAGATCCATAGACTCACAGAGAGACCCAAGGGCTCGCACGTGAATGTGTGGTGATTTAGTTGAAGGTGGAGGGGGGTTACCAGCCCCTCGCACCCATCCAGAACTCCCTGTGGCCACTGGTGGCTGCGGGCGACGTGAGGTTCACAGCTGGTCAGGGTTGGCGCCCCCCCCCCCCCAAAATGGCATCTCTCACAACCACCGCTGCATTATCAACCGTCACCATTCGCCAATAAGTGACAGTGACGTCACCACAGCGCCTGTGCCAGGCCAGGTGCACTTTGAAGCCACGTGAAGTGTCGAAGGCTCGCTGACCGGAGGTCCTGGAACAGACCCAGGTGCCATGGGTTGGCTGACTGAGATGACTGGCAGCACCACCTGTACCCTGTACTGTGCCAAATTGCTGCATATTTATCATCCGGTGTTCCGCTCGTTGTTGTGAGTGTCACTCCTCCGTTGTTGTTGGAGGGCGAGTGTCGCCAACTGCCAAGTAGAAGCATCCTTCACGAGCCTCCCCGCAGAGGCCGATCTCGATACCACTGGTACCAGTCGTCGGCAAAGCCCACTCAGCTCCACATCCTCCCGTACCGCATCAGTCCACCTCCACTCCAGCCCATGCCATGCCTGCCAAGCTCCCTCCATCCACCCATATACTCACTTACCGGCTTACTCACGCATTCACCCACTCATATCTGGTCATGCACCCACGCATGAAATTTTAAATGCAGGCTACGCAAAGCATCGTGATCAATTTACACCAAAATATACTCTCAATCACTTAAACCACATATTCGTAAATGATGCGCACCCTAATCAGCCACTATGGCTGCGTGCAGGGTGTTGTGATGTCACGTAGTACGACGTTTTTCTTGCTCCCCCCCCCCCCCCGTTATAACGCATTGTCTATCTATGGCCTCGTCACATTGGCCTTAATGGACGCGTGGTGATGGTGAAAGATGATTCGGCGGTGGATACTGAATTGCCGGAGCCCCATTTAACATTCAGGTGACACGGGGCACGGCACGTGAAGAACCTCTTATGTTCTGTAAGCAGACTTCTCTGCGTGGGATAGTTAACACCTCTTAATGCACAGACAACCGCCAACGCAGCCTCGCCTGCCGGAGGAGCTCGCTGATGATCGGACAGTGTTCAGATCTCTCAAGGATCTGTGAGCTACTCGCACACAAAGATCCCCGTGTAGCCTTTAACAGACTGTTGGGGCAAGTGCTTTATAACATCATCAAAGGGGCGCTGCAATACGATGCAATCAAAATCACCGATCAGAGATTTTCCCATATATGGTCTTTGTTGATTGTGAATCGATAGTAATTGTATTGATTCCACTCAGTCGATACAGCAGCAAGCTCAAAATGTCCGATTTTATCTGAAAATTTCTGCGTTTCACAGATCATACAAAGCAACGGTATCGATGCCTGGTTTGTATGTACTTTTTATTTAAAAAATCTTTTTTATTGTAGTCTATCAGACTTTTGTATTAAATCGCTCTGCAAAAAGTCATTTTGTATGCTAATAAATCAATGTTATGCTAATGCAAAATTTCATCATAGCCGCAACTCGGTTTACTCCGATGTGCAATGTCATCTTTATTTCGATCCTGTGAGTGTACAATTTTTTTATTAAACTTCATTTACTGAGTGAATACAAGACCACTTATATGCTGATGTCCATTTTTATCATAGCTGTGATTCATTCAGCCATTCACTCACTCAGCCACAAACTCACTCAGCCACACACTCACTCAACGACTCACTCAACTACTCAGCCGCTCACTCACTCAGATATTCACTCACTCAACCACTCACTCACTCAATAATTAACTCAACCACTCAACCAATCATTCAACCACCCACTCACTCAATCACTCAACCATCACACTCTCACTCACTCAACCATTCACTCACTCAGCCACTCACTCAGCCACTCACTCAGTCACTCACTCAGTCACTCAACCACTCGCTCACTAAACCACTCGCTCATTCAACCGCTCGCTCACTCAACCATTCACTCACTCAACCACTTGCTTGCTCACTCAACCACTCACTTGCTCACTCAAGCACTCGCTCACTCAACCAATCACCCAACCACTCGCTCAACGATTCACTCAACCCCTCACCAAACCACTCACTCAACGACTCACCAGAATCCTCTCGGCTTGGGGACTCACTTAACCACTCACTTAACCATTCACTTAACCACTCACTAGAGCAACCACTCACTCACTTAATGACTTACTCAACCACTCAACCAATTACTTTCTCACTCACTCAGCCACTCACTCCTTCACTCAGCCACTCACCCTTTCACTCAGCCACTCACTCATTTAGCCACTCACTCAGCCACACACTCAACCACTCAGCCGCGCACTCACGAAGCTACTTACTCACGAAGCTACTTACTCACTCAACCACTCACTCACTTAATCACTTACTCAGCCACTCAACCATCACTCTTTAACTCACTCAACCATTCACTCAATCAGCCACACTCACTCAACGACTCACTAACTTAACCGCTCAGCCGCTCAGTTACTCTATCTCAATCACTCAACCACTCACTCATTCAACCATTCCCGAATTCATTCAACCAGTCACTCAACCATTATGTCGCTGGACGAGTCCCACCTTGATGGGTCTGCGACATTTCTTTCCAGAGTTATTGCCAAAAAACCACAAACATCCCAGAATCCTCTCGGTTTGGGGTCCAAATGTTGTCACTTATTATATCCCATGAGAAACATCGCATCGAATAAATGTGATTGGATTCTCCCCGCCTGGACGAGCAGAATTGAATATGTAAGCATCAGGGTTTGGATCAAACCTACAACCTCCTGTATACCGGGCGAAGTAGTGAACTCGTCACCCGGGTCGCCCTAATCCATTCCCGTATCTCTTCTTCTGTGTGTGTGCTACAGGCGGGTGTCTCAGATTGCCAGCACCATGTGATGGGAGCTCCAGGGCATGCTGCGTGCTCGCCAGGAGGGGCTGGGTAAGATGGCGTAGTCGCTGGAGCAGCTGCGGGCGCGGCACCGTCGCTCTCACCCTGGCGGAGTGCAGCAACACAGTGGAGC